TATCCGAAACTAAAATAACAACTAAAAATGAATCTTTGGATGTCAATTTGAATATCGCAAATTATGCTTTTGAATTTGTGCCTACGCCTCTTTCTTGTGGAGGCGTTGGCATGTATATAAACAAAGAGGTTGATTATTCTGTCTTGGAAAGGACATCTAATGAAGCATATCAGGCATTGTGGATTGAAATTCTTTTTAGCGACAAACGGAATGTCATTTGTGGAGTTGTGTATTAGACAGCACAATTGTGCAAATGACTTTCTCTCATACTTTGAAAATGCACTAGAAAATTACAGCTCTTCACAAAAAAATATCTATATCTTAGGTGATTTCAATATAGATTTGCTAAAATCGGAAACTTGTTCATATAGCGAAACGTTTTTACTTTCTTTACAAAGCTGGTATGTATGTTTCCAACAATAGACAAACCCACTCGTGTTTACAATAATTCTGCAACTCTTATTGACAACATTTTAATTAACAATCCTGTCTCTGGAGTTTGCAGCGGTAATCTAATTACTGATATTACTGACCATTTCTCATAATTTTGCATCATTCCTTCTGGCAAAGGAACCAATAAAACATACCGCCAAAAAGTTAGACACTTTTCAAAATCGTCTGAAAGGGAATTTGTGAAAGAAATTTCTGAAACTGATCTCACAGCGTTCTTCTCAGAAAATAAGGTTGACAAAATCTTCTCCTCTCTTTATCGTAAAATAAACAATATTGTCAACAAAGTTGCTCCTCTGAAAAAGCTAAGTAAGCGAGATATTAAAAAGCTAAACAAGCCATGGATAACCGAGGGAATTYGTGAGTCTATAAGGATTAAAAATCAGTTATTAATGCCTGGAAATAAAGACCGATATCTTTACTATAGGAACAAAATAGTTTCTCTTATACGAAAAAGTAAAAGAAATCATTTTGAATCTTTTTTTGAAGTAAATCAAAGGAATGCAAAGAAGACTTGGCAAGCTATCAACTCATTTTTGCACAATAATAAGAGTAAAYGCAAACAAGTTTCAGCTTTAAAGGATTCTTCTCTTAACGATCGTGTTACTAGTAACCCACACAAGTTACCTAACATTCTCCATACTTTTTTTGCTGCCGTAGGAAAAAAATATGCTAGTCGAATTCGGCAGTCCAAGACACACTTTACCGAATACCTTAAAAATGTAAATCAACTTTAGTTAATTCCATGTTTTTCACTCCTGTGACAGCATCTGAAATAGATGATGAAATTTTATCGCTATCTAATAATAAAGCTTATGGTCTATACTTATGCCCAGTTAATTTTTTAAAAGCATCTAAACCGTTTCTCAGTGAACATCTTGCGAAACTGATGAACTCATCTGTGCAAACAGGTAGACATCCGACAGAACTTAAGATCTCCAAAATTTGTCCTATTTATAAATCGGAGGATGATACAGACCCTAGTAACTACAGACCTATATCACTTCTCTCTGTGTTTAACAGAATCTTTGAAAATACAATGTATAATAGATTAATTACATTCRTACATAAACATCATATTCTCTCTGACATGCAATATGGCTTTAGGAAAAATCACTCCACACAACATACACTTCTTGATATAATTAGTACAATACAACATAATATGGACAACAAAATATACACATGTGCAGTTTTCATTGATTTAGCGAAAGCATTTGATACTGTTGACCACTCCATTCTCATGAAAAAACTTTATATTTATGGCGTGACAGGATGCGTCTATAATTGGTTTAAGTCGTACTTGTCTGAGAGAACTCAAATTACTAGTGTTAGTAATCATATATCGAATAAAGAAGCAATTAATTTTGGGGTCCCTCAAGGTTCTACATTAGGTCCTTTACTCTTTCTCCTTTACATAAATGATATTAGTATGGCCTCTAATATTTTAAAATTTCATCTTTT